CCTCCATCGCGTACTTCATATCCAAGGCGAAGAGACTCCACATGATTTCAGCGCTGATTTTACCCATATTCAACTCTTGAGGGAACCTAAAGTTAATCAAGAACAGACATCGTTATAACCACACAGGAGTGCTTTTATTCATCAGAGATAAGAGTCAAGAGAGCATAACAAACCTCTGTGGTGTGCCTCAGTTAAAGCAACTTATTACAATAAAATTATGGCAACTGTTTAAGAAAATAAATACTTTATAAACACTTATAATACATAAACTCCTGTATAAATAAATATTTAACTGTATTTTATTTGACAATTAATAATAATATAAATAAAAAAAATAAATAATTGACAAAAACTATGAATGAATATTATGTACAGTAAAATAGTTTTGGAACATAAAATTTGTATTTTAAATACTGTACTGTACTTTAAAAATATAATATAATATAATATAATATAATATAATATAATATAATATAATATAAAAATATAATATAATATAATAAAAAAATATAATATAATATAATACTATATAAAAATATAATATAATACATTATAATATAATATAATATAATATAATATAATATAATATAATATAATATAATATAATATAATATAATATAATATAATATAATATAATATAAAAATATAATATAAAATAAAATAAAATAAAATAATATAATATAATATAATATAATATAATATAATATAATATAATATAATATAATATAATATAATATAATATAATATAAAAATATAATATAATATAATAAAAATATAATATAATTTAATATAAAATAATATAATATAATATAATATAATACTATATGAAAAATAAAATATAATATAATATAATATAATATAATATAATATAATATAATATAATATAATATAATATAATATAATATAATATAATATATCTTTTTATTCCACTCAGAACAAGTATGGGAGAAAGGATTATGACATCACAACAGCTTATTAGCATATGACCAATGGATGAATGGAACACTTTTAATACATAAACACTTGTATAAATAGCTGTAAGTGTATACATATATATATATATATATAGTTATATATAGTTATATATAGTTATATATAAGTATATATTATATATAGTTCTGTCTGGTTCTGGAATCTTATTGGTTGATAGCTGTGCAGTACTCTGCCAGTAACGGCAGTCATACCACCTCTTCACCCTTCACTCTTGTGTACTACTCCGCCTATGTACAGCAACAAGCAGAGGACACTCAACAATTTGACAAATATTGCTGCTGTTGGACAACATAATGTACTTTCGAGGCTTTTTTAGTTGAGAATATAGTTGTTTAGATTGCAACTATGCAGAATATTTATAAACATTACAGAATATTTAGCCTGTCATTGAGCAAAGACGGTTGATGGTGTTAATCCACACGATGGTGACATGATCGCATAATAAGCCCTTAGTAGATAAAACAACGTAATTTCTTAACTACAGCTGATCAAATTATTACTAAACTGTTGACTGTCAACGGTTGTATGTTGTAGTGCTGTATTTATACCATATAATTGTAGTGTGTTTTGGAAACGGGAGATGAGCCCCTAGTCTAATGCGCCACCTGGCTTGAGAAAACCGTTTTCAAAGACTTACTTTTAGTCATTATTTGGGTAGCACACATATTCTGAATGCCTTTGGCAGAATTCAGAGGAGCCATTTTAATCTAGATTAATTTCAAGATTACAGTGAGATTAATCTAGATTTAAAAAATTAATCTATGGCCACCTATAATATACACATTATTTATGGACAGTGAGTACACAATGATTATGCAAATACAAACTGAAATGACAAAAATTCCAAAACTAATTAAACAAAAGTAAGGCACATTAATGAATGAATGATTTAAATAATACATTTAAAAGATGAATGAATTAAAAATGTTTACATTAAATTTATAAATATTAATAAATAAAAATGTAGCATATTCTCTCTATTTTCAGATCCTGTATCAGCACATCTGGTCTTCATCTCGACCTTTAGAGATCTCAATGTGGGAGTTTCCTTAATCCACATCTGCATCAATGACATCCTTTAAAAACACATGCATTACACAAATATAACTAAACATAGTAAATGATTCTGCTTAGGAACACATCCTTCAATAAAAAAAAAAAAAAAAAAAAAACATAGAGGAGTGTAAAAGGGTCCCGGACCAATTTTAGAAATGCAGGATTTTTTTTTTTAAACATGTGAGCAGATTCAGCTTAGGGGCTCCAATTTCACCGTGCAACCCATCACACCATCTGTTTCCATGGCAACCGCCTCCATAGCGTATCACAGTTCTCAGCGCTCTCTCCCGCTGCTGGAAACAATCTCAGACTCATTTAGAGCAGACTCAACTTCATTTAGAGCCAGTTTAATTGATGAGGACGGACAGGAGAAGCTCTCGGAGATGAACACATGAGGACGCAGATATACAGAAAAGATCTACAGAAGAGTTTTGTCTTTCGCTCTCTCAAAGTGATGGAAGGATGCGTTTCAAACTGAACTGGGATGTGAAGATGGATTCTGGATGTTGTTTACAATGCACACTTTTTAAAGGGCTGGTTGTCCACAATGTCATTCATTTTCTTTTCGGCTTAGACCCTTTATTAATCAGAGGTCGCCAAAGAGGAATGAACCGACAACTTATCCAGCATATGTTTTTACGGAGCATTCCAGCTGCAACCCATCACTGGGAAACACCCATATTAGTTGTTTACAATGTCAAATAATGAAATACATCTACAATGTAGCCAGCAGCTGGAGCAATGACTTATCTTCAGCATAAAAGAGCCATCACAGTCAGTTTTACTTCTGCTGGCAAACAATATTGTGTCTGTAGGGACTGCGTAGATGGAGTGTGTCATTATTATTTTAATGAAAGGTTATGAAGATAAACAGTGTAAAACAAGAGTACTCATGCTGATGAATCATATGTTATACTGCCAGGAAACTTGCATGAAGATGTACAGGATAAATATTAATTTATTTACCATGATAATCAAAATGAGACCTTATGATGCTGATATCTCATGCTGACAGTCACGTTGCAAATAAAAGTCAACTTGACTGTCAAGATGGAAATTCAGACACTGTTATGTCCCCTTGTGGTAAACCTCTTTGATTTTCTTATTAAAGAATTTAATATTTTTTGATGAGCAGGGAAACACGGATCAAAAACAACATTTATAATGATACAAATGATGAACCGTTATCATGATACAAGATGACAAACCATTCATGAAAGGTTTCAGTTCTTTAGGGAGAGGATATCAGTGCTTTGAAGCGGTGCTATCGGTCATCGGGAGGGGCTATGAGTCCTTTAGGGCGGAGCCATCAGTCATTTAAGGAAAGGCTTTCAGTTGTTTAGGGCTAAGTATCAGACATTTAGGGAGGGTCTGTCAGGTCTTAAGGGCAGGGCTATCACTCCTTTAGGGCGGAGCTATCAGTCATTTAGGGAGGGGCTATCAGTCAATTAGGGAGGAGATATCAGTTATTAGGGCGGAGCTATCAGTCATTTAGGGAGGAGATATCAGTTATTAGGGCGTAGCTATCAGTCATTTAGGGAGGAGATATCAGTTATTAGGGCGGAGCTATCGATCATTTAGGGAGGGGATATCAGTTCTTTAGAGCGGAGCTATCAGTCATGTAGGGTGGAGCAATCAGTCATTTAGGGCAGAGCAACCAATCCTTTTGAGAGGGGCTATCAGTCATTTGGGGCGGGGCTATCAGTCATCTAGAGAGGGGATATCAGTACTTTAGGGCAGGGCTATCAGTCTTAAGGCCGGAGCTATTAGTCATTTAGGGCGGAGCTATCAGTTATTTGGGGTGGGGCTATTAATCTTTAGGGCGGAGTTATCGGTCATATAGGGAGGGGATATCAGTACTTTAGGGTAGGACTATCAGTCATTTGGGGTGGGGCTATTAATCTTTAGGGCGGAGCTATCAGTCATATAGGGAGAGGATATCAGTACTTTAGGGTAGGACTATCAGTCATTTATAGCAGAGCTATCAGTCATTTGGGGCGCGGCTATCAGTCTTTAGGGTGGAGCTATCAGTCATTTAGGAAGGAGCTAAAACAACATTTATAATGATACAAATGATGAAACGTTATCATGATACAAGATGACAAACCATTCTTGAAAGGTATCAGTCATTTAGGGAGAGGCTATCAGTCTTTAGGGCGGAGCTGTCAGTCATTTAGGGCGGAGCTATCAGTCATTTGGGGTGGGGCTATTAATCTCTAGGGCTATCAGTCATTTAGGGAGGGTCTATTAGTCCTTAAGGGCGTGGATATCAGTTCTTTAGAGCAGAGTGACCAGAGCTTTAGGGAGGGGCTATTAGTCATTTAGGGAGGGGATAATAGTATTTTAGGGCAGGGCTATCAGTCATTTGAGGCGCAGCTATCAGTCATTTAGGGAGGCACTATCAGTCATGTAGGATGGAGCTTTCAGGCATTAAGAGCAGATTGACCAGTGCTTTAGGGAGGGTCTTTCAGTCCTTAAGGGTGGGGATATCAGTTCTTTAGGGTGAAGCTATCAGTCATTTATAGACGGGCTATCAGTCATTTAGGGCAGAGCTATCAGGCATTCAGGGCAAAGCTATCAGGCATTTAGGGCAGAGCTACCAGTCCATTAGGGTCGGTCTATGAGTCCTTATGGGCGGGGCTATCAGTCCTTCAGAGAATATCAATACTTTAGGCCAGGGTTATTAGTCCTTAAGGGTGGAGCTATCAGTCATTTAGGGCACAGCTATCAGGCATTTAGGGCGGAGCTACCAGTCATTTAGGGAGGGTCTGTCAGTCATTTAGGGAGGGGCTATCAGTCATTTAGGAAGGGGATATCAGTACTTTAGGACATGGCTATCATGGGGTGTCAGTGTCAACACTTCCCATTCACTTTGAATGGGTGATGTCAAGCGTTGCCGCACTGAATTGTGGATCCATTTTGCTTGCTGCAGAAATTGGGAATTTCTCAACATTTCAAGCGCCAATAAAAGCGTTAGCCAATCAGATTGCTTTAAGCAAACACCCCAGCTCAGACAGTAGCTGATTGTGGACTAATTTTATTGGCTGTGATGATCGATTTAGCCCCAACTTCAGACACGCCCTCTGTCAAGCGTTGACGCTGAAGCCCCGTGTGAATCAGGTGTCAGTCCTTAAGAGTGGAGCTATCAGTTATGTCGGTCAGGACTATCAGTCATTTGGGGTGGGATATATTAGGATGCGTCTTGTTTCTGCTCTGCCTCCATCCATTGGTCAATCTTCTTCCATTTTGTTAGCAACACTCATTATTCAATGCACTGACTTACATTTTGTTCTAATTTCCGGACCATTTCAAATGGATTTATGTCAGAATAGAGAAAATGAACAATCTTAACTTCCTTATCATGGCGGCTTTAAGTTTTAGTTTGTTTACAGTGTGTGATCTGTGCTTTGATGGACAGTTTTGATTCAACTGCTCAGACTGAGAGAAAAATGTATAAAACTGATAACAGACATTTCTATCTGATTCACTGTTACCATGTTTTGCCCTCATATAGCAGTTGCTTAAGTCTGCTTTTAAATTTTCCAAATAAACTAACACACTCACACACACACACACACACAGAACGTAAACTGCTGTAGTAGTGTAGAGATCATTAGAGTGTAAACACAGCATGAGGCATTTTTCTTCTCACTCCACACACACCGAGAGACGAGACCACAACTAATGACACTAGAAGGCCAGAAACATCTTTCTCACACACACACCGACTTATAAAAAGGTGAGATAAAAGATAAGAGAGAGCTAAAGAAACACAAATGCTGGAAGCCAAAGAAACACAAATGAATTCTCTGGGTTTGTCCCGGATGCTGAATTATTCACTTCTCCTGCCTGACCATGAATTTTCTGTGGGGAAACCTGATATCGATGTCTGTTCTGCACACACGCACACGCATATGCACATACACACATCATATTTTATTTCAGTGCAATGTGCTTCATTCATTCATTTTCATTCGGCTTGGTCTCTTATTTATCTTATTTTTTGCTACATATTTAGTGATCTTAAACTGACTAAAATATTGAGTTAAACTTTGTGTAACTTAAAAAAAAAATAGTTCAAACACCCGGCGCAATGTGGCGTAAGGTGTTCTGATCTAAAAAGGGAGACGTGTTGAGGCGCATTGCTGGCGCGTTGCTATTTTGAGAAACTATAATAGATTTTTCAATAGACCAAAACAAAGCCGGTCTAAACTCCAGCGCAGAGTGCGTTAGTTGTGTGCCTACACACTGCTTAATACACACAAGATGTAGAGCGATACGCAAATATCATTACAAATGAAAATGAATTAAAATATTAAGGATATATAGGATATAATAAGAATATATATATAGGATATAAATATAAAGGATTACAATAATACAAAACAAATTATTTTTCAGCCTACATAAATATAAAATCCACTGCCTTCATGCCTTCTTCATCTCGGGAGGCTTTTTTAAGTTCATTCATAACAATTTGCTTTTGTATAATGTTTTTATTATTATTAGCAGTATTATTTATTATATCCATATATATATATATATTTTAATAAAAAAAACAAGCTTCGATTTGTCCACCTCTCAGGTTTTAGACCATATGGGGCACAGCATGTGTATTAGGATATAACTATGGTTTTTGAACACACTTTGTTATTATTGTTCGTCATTTATTCGTTTGCTGGAAATTAGAACTGAATTTAGAAATAATTTTGAAACAAATCTTTGCGCTTAACAAACAAAATTAATTATTTAGAGGCTAATTGATGTCTGTGCGTACACGGTTTCCCTATCCACGAGAGCGAAAGTGAAAGTTAATATTTTATCTCTCATGCTCATGCTGTAGATGCTCTGTTTAACTGTTTGCTAGTGAAATGCTCAGTTTTTCCACTTACACTTACTTTACGTCATGTAAATAACAAATTCGCTTATGACGTGACGGAACTGACTCTTAAAGGGAATGGGAGATGAGACTCTGATTGGTTTTTTTCTCAAAACACACCTATAACTCATGAAGAAAATAAACTCAACCCCTTTTAGACCATGCGACACGGCGCATTATATTAGTGTCCTTATATTAGCAAAAGTAGATTCTGACACGCCCTGAATGTGTTTGCGCCCTGCACTTTGCACTTTATGCATGAACCGTCAAAATAGAGCCCATAATGTCTGATTAACATATTTAATTTCTGATTAACACCTGATTGACATGATTTAAAATGAAGTAAAATGAAAACATGTGTTGCCATGACTTGTCATATCCTTTATCCTTTTATTTGATCATTTATAGTTTTATTTTAAAGTGTTTGTATCTCCTAAAATGTAGATTTTTTAATCAGCGTATACTGAATAAAAATATACAGTATCAGGTCAATTACTTGAGGAAGAATTTGGTCACTTGAGGTGTGAAATTACTCACGGTTTGGTTCAGTTACGATTATCATGCCATTGGTTCAGGTTAATTCGATATCTCGGAGCATCACAGTGCACTGATGATGCTTTCCATTCACTATTCGATATTTTACTTCACAGCACAAGAATTCTTGTATTAAAAACAATGGTTATGATCTATTATTGAACTGATACTGAAATGTCTGCATCTGAAGAAACAATTATCTTTGATACCCCTATTGGTCATATTGTTTTTTGTTCCATCTGTTTCAGTAATGAAAACTGTTCCAAACTAACTGGAGCAAATCAACACTGTGCTATTTCGTTTGCGAATGAATGAATCTCTTTTTGAACGAATCATATGAGTGAATGATTCAATGATTAATTCACTTGTATTTTCTAAAGGAATCAGAGGTTTTAAAGAGTCGTTTGAATGTATGAAGTGAACTAAAGTGTTACCAAAAAGTAATTTAAGAATTTCCAGCATCGGTACGAACCCTGTGCATTGAAATTGTATTGTATTGTATAGAAAGTTACCTCATATGGCCTTTCAACAAACAAAAGATTATGATTTAATGTGCACTGTGACATTTCTATCAAGTTTTTTTTTTTTTGTGATATCCCAAAACACGTTTAACCACATTTTCCTTGAAAAAGACTGTGGGAAGCGTATTATCATTGCTCTAATGGAGAAACAACTACAGAAATCCCCTCTCCTGCAGAACAAACACAGCAACAGACACTACAGAGACAACTTCACAATAAGTGTGTGTTTGCAATACGCACTGGTTAATGATGGGTGTGTATGCCGTTCTGTCCTCATCAATAACAGACACCATCAGCGTGATCAGTTTGGGCCAGAAGTCCAGGTTCTTGATGGACGGACCCTGTTCCTCGCGTGGCAGCTCCTGCTTCTTAGCCTGGAAACACAGAGAAAGCAAAGATTAATACACATTTTCTGCTTTCCTCCTCCATGTGTTGGGAGTTCAGATCTATTATGAAGCTTAACTGATGTGATAGGGAGGAATCGGAGCAGTCAACACTCTGGGTAAGTGTTTTGGCTTCATTTTATTAGGTAGTGCAAACACACAAACACACACTTGTATATATGGTTTACGACTACTCTTCACAGACGTAATGTATTTTATACGGTAAAAACGCTTGTTATATGGCTTACTTCACCCCGTACACTAAACCCAACCCAACCTAAAAACCCTGTTTGAAGTGTTTTGAATTATGAGGACACAAGATAGAGTACTGTACACAAGTCCTAAGCACTATACCAGCTTTGTTGGCCAAATGGTTCTGCACAATACATAATCAACCAGTCTCTTTATTAATAAAATAACAGAAAATATAGGAAACATGTAGAAAAAGACAATAACAGCACAACATTTCCTCTTCAATCAAAGGTCGATGTTAAATCTGGCCATCATTGGCACTTGTTTTGTACTAATTGTCCTGAGATTTTCTGAAATAATGTGCTGTGTAATAATATCAGCCTTATTTCAGCACTTCCCAGAGTTCTTCTTTAGGTTTAGAGTGTCTTATCTTTCTATTTCTGTCCAGGTGATCTCATTCAGCCTCAATAACATTCAGGTCTGGACACTGTCGAGGCCATTTCATTGTCTGTCTTTCATTAGCTGTTTTATTTTTCCAAATAGGATTTCATTGCAATTAGTGGATCACTATCATGCTGTAAATGAAAACTATTACCACTAATGTCTTTCCCAGATTTAATACCAACCCAAGCTCATTCTGGAAACGTAGCCCTGCGGATGTTTCTGGAGACCGCGATTTACGTGGCCGGAGGTACGTAAGGCCGCGTTTAGTTTTTCTCGAGCAAACGCTTCGCGCTCACCGGCCGACGGCTCGCCTCCGAGTGGAGGGCTTTCCCGCTGCCACCAGTTTGTCCGCTTAGCTCGCAGCATTACGTCGGCGGAGCGGAGGCCCGGAGGAGGAGGAGTCGGCCGCGGTGATGACCGGGATTGAGTCCAGGGAAGAGCGGTTCCAGAAATCGGTTAGATGAAAACAGATCCGAAAAATAGGGCGAGAACGCGGCGGGATCTGAAAACGCGGTCGAAATCAAAGACGAGGGGTTTTGCTTTTTTTTTTTTTTTATGGACGGCTTTTGCAAACCGTCGCTTGGGTTTAGGGAAGGAGGAGGAGGAAGAGGAGGGCGGCCGGGTAGGGCGATCTGCCGGCCGCCCGGTCGGTCGTTTGTTCGTTCGGGCAGCCGGACGGTCGCTCCACAGCGGCCTCCGGCGGCTTTTCGCGCGAGAACAGCGCGGGCGCGAACTTCGCGTGCTCCCGAGCGACGCTCGAGATGCATAAAAGCGCGCACAGCGGCCTCTCGCGGATCCGCGAAAACAAAAAACGCTCGAATACATACCTCCCGGGACGTATTTCGCGTTCTGCAGAAACATCGGCGGTGCTACGTTTCCACAATGAGCCCGGGTTGTTTAATACTGTATGTCCTCACAAACCACCTCAATAGAGTACAACTAGATCATACCATGTCATTATACAATTTTGTCCTCATAAAGCACATAAACAAGTAAGCAAAGACACACACATCACATACACAGAACACGCACACAGAACACACACTCATGCATGCTTGCTTTTGTGAATTGTAGGGATATTACAACAATCTGATTTGCTTTATACTCTAAAACCTGTAATTTCAATCTCTTTTCCAAACCAATCTCCTTACAGGAATCCTCATTCTGGAGCCTTTTGAAATATAAGTACATCAGCAATGTCCTCATAAGTCATCTTCTCTTGAAATAGATGTACCATATTCAAGCCACTATACAAATTTGTGTCCCCGTATGTCACAAAAACATGTGCACACACACACACACAAGGCTCTGATTAAAAACATTTATGTTGAACACATTCGTTTCCTGCCCTTGAAGCTCATTAAAGTCTCCACTCATTATGCAAATCCTGACTTCTGCAATAACTCCAGCTTAACCGCTGAGAAACACTGCAGTCAGCACTGAAACCACCACTGACACAAAACACATACAAACGACTAACACAAGAGCAGTCCTTCTGCTTCGACTGATGGATGATCATTATATGTTCTTTACTTGATTGTTAAAAATGATTTGAAATTGTAGTAGTCATTGTTATAGTAGTACCAGTGGTGGTGGTAGTAGTAGTAGTAGTAGTAGTAGTTAAAGTACTATTAGTAGTAGTAGTAGTAGTAATAGTAGTTGTTGTTATAGTATTATCAGTAGTAGTAGTAGTGGTTGTTATAGTACTATCAGTAGTAGTACTAGTAAAAGTAGTAGTTGTTGTAGTAGCATCAGTAGTAGTAGTAGTAGTAGTAGTAGTAGTAGTGGTTGTTATAGTACTATCAGTAGACGTAGTAGTAGTAATAGTAGTTGTTGTTATAGTAGTAGTAGTAGTTGTAGTAGTTGTTGTTGTTATAGTAGTATCAGTAGTAGTAGTAGTAGTACACATAGTTGTTGTTGTAGTAGTATCAGTAGTAGTAGTAATAGTAGTGGTTGTTATAGTACTATCAGTAGAAGTAGTAGTAGTAATAGTAGTTGTTGTTATAGTAGTATCAGTAGTAGTAGTAGTTGTTGTTGTTATAGTAGTATCAGTAGTAGTAGTAGTAGTAATAGTAGTTGTTGTCGTTATAGTAGTCTCAGTAGTAGTAGTAGTAGTACACATAGTTGTTGTTGTTGTAGTAGTATCAGTAGTAGTAGTAATAGTAGTGGTTGCTATAGTACTATCAGTAGAAGTAGTAGTAGTAATAGTAGTTGTTGTTATAGTAGTATCAGTAGTAGTAGTAGTAGTAGTTGTTGTTGTTATAGTGGTATCAGTAGTAGTAGTAGTAGTAGTAGTAGTAGTAGTAGTAGTAGTAGTAGTAGTAGTAGTAGTGGTTGTTAGTACTAGCAGTAGTAGTAGTAGTAATAGTAGCAGTAATAGTTGTTGTTGTTTTATTAGTATCAGTAGTAGTGTATGTTATAGTACCATCAGTAGTTGTAGTAGTAGTAGTAATAGTAGTTGTTGTTATATCAGTAGTAGTAGTAGTAGTAGTAGTTGTTGTTGTTATAGTAGTATCAGTAGTAGTAGTAGTGGTTGTTATAGAACTATCAGTAGTAGTAGTAGTAGTAGTAGTAGTAGTAGTAGTATTAGTAGTGTCTAACTGTGTAACAAAAGATATGTAGATGTTGGTCATTCAAAATACAGATATATTACCTCTATAAATTAATGAAATACGGTAATTTATAGTGAAAATGAGAAATTACATTGTAGTACTTTTAACTAATTATTTTTATGTTTTTAACGGTAAAGTACTGACAACCACAGCTGCTATTTTTTTACCTTAAATTTTACGGATTTATTTTTTACAGTGTATCAGTTGTTGTTATAGTACTATCAGTAGTAGTAGTTGTAAAAGTAGTTGTTGTTATTGTAGTATCAGTAGTAGCAGAGATAGTAGTGGAGATTGATGTCGACCTGACGTTGGGTTCTGATGTCAACCTGATGTTCATTTACAACGTTGGGGTACAACGTCAATATGACATTATGTTGACCTCCCCTGCAGGGTGGTGTAGTACTTATTATACTTAACTAATTATTATTATTATTATTATTATTATTATTTATTCATTCATTCATTCATTCATTCATTTTCTTTTCGACTTAGTGGCTTAATTAATTTGGAGTCACCACAGTGAAATGAACCGTCAACTTATCCAGCATATGTTTTACGCACTGGATGACCTTCCAGCTGCAACCCATATCTGGAAACCATCCATACACACTCATTCCCACACATACACTACAGACAATTTATCCTACTGTACCCAATTCACCTGTATCGCATGTCTTTGGACTGTGGTGGAAACCGGAGAACGCGGGGAGAACATGCAAACTCCACACAAAAATGCCAACTGACCCATCTGAGGCTCGAACCAGCGACCTTCTTGCTGTGAGGCAACAGCACTACCTACTGCGCCACCACGTCGCCGATATTATAATTATAATTATAATAAAGAAGAATTATAAAATAAAAGAAAATCCCATCCATAAATGACATTTTTCATGGATTTCTACCTAAATGCATTAAAAAAGCTTTCTGGCTGGCAGTAACCTGTGCAGCTTGTGTGACATGGCATCAGTAGACATGGAAGGTCACCTCAGAGGTGGAACAATTACATTTTGATGAAAAATTGCCAAGAAAGGGTCAAACAAAAACAAGAACATCCTGTACTGAAAGTCAGGTGTGTGTAGTTTAACAACACCTGAATGGGGACAAAAGCTCACAAGCCAAGGCCAAATCAAAACTCATCAAGATCTGTGTGCAAGAAGACCTGAAACATCGACCATAAAAAATTAAAATAATAATAATTCTTTTTTATTTCTTCAAGGGTTTGACATTTTTGTTCAGTTAGCGTTTTCCCAATCTAACACTTAACATTAAAGGAGATTAGTCTTGCTCTACAAATGCACTTCTGCCATTTCTCATAACCTCAGACAGATTGACAGCTACAACTGTAGTGTTTAACTTTTAATACACTGTGAAACTGCACTCAAGTCATCAGCAGTTATCAGAGTGCATTCAAACTGCCTGTCTGTCATGACAACTCTCGGAGAGATTTAGTCAACCCAGTCTCATTTTGGAAACGTAGTCCCGCGGATGTTTTTGGAGACCGCGCAATACGTCCTAGGAGGTATGTTTTTGTGCAGTTTTTGTTTTTGCGAATCCGCAAGAGGCCGCTGTGCACGCTTTTTCACATCTCGAACACCTCTCGCAAGCTCCGTTCACACCCGCACTGTTCTCGCGTAAAGCCACCGGAGGCTGTTGACGAGCGACCGTCTGTCCGACTTACGGAATGATTGACTGAGCGAGGGGCCAATCGGCTGACCCACGTTCCTCCTCCTCCTTCCCTAAACCCAACCGGTTTTACTGATTGAC